AGTCACAATGACTTTTTCAATTCGTTTCGTCGAATTTTTATTTATAACAACGCTCTTTCAAGGTTCGTGAAGTTTCGTGGCAACGAAATTCTCCCGCATGTCAAACTGAACGTTTGAATTTAAAAGAGGATCTTCATATACACTGATTCATTTCTTCGGTCTGCTTTCATCAAGCTGTTCCGAGAATTTCGTTTGCACTCATGGAACGGATGACTCATTCTAGAGAAAATTAAACTAAAAATGGGAATTAAATGCAGAAACAAGAGCATGTTTTTTCGTGTCTACTTTTTGGGAACGGATTTCACATTCAGAGCCCCGACAATAATTACGCTGAACATTCTTACAGAAGTACAGTAACAGCAAATGAACGTCCATCAGCACTTCAGCAGTAACAGTAAGAAAACATTAGTTCGTACAGACAGATGTAGCCTACTTAAAACTTCAACTTGTTGGAAGACAGGGAGTTAAGCTTGGATATCTACGTCTTTTTATGCTTTTCTTTTTGGCTTACTAACTTGCAGTGGAGTAGCTGTTTTATTAGGAGTAGGCGCTTTATAGCAAATGAAGCTGCCTGAGACGTAATCGCCGGACATCCGATGAAGGAATTCGGAACTGAATAAGTCCCACCACTGCTTCAGATAGCTGTGAACGTGCTCATGGGCAGGTCCAGAGATGGTTACATTCCCAGAAACCGGGTCGTATTGATGCATCCAGGGTTTCGTCGCTCCCAAGAAATGCACGATCTTCACATCCTTGCCAAATCTTTTGTTCAAATTGAAAAAAAAAATGAGAAAAGGAAATGCTTCATTATTGCAGAACTCGAATCGCGGTAGCACGACATTTAAAATTGCTTCCTGATGAAGTTTAAATTGTAATATTAACGTTCACGATGAGAAAAAGAGCGGATGTGATGTTTTGAACTGAAGGATCGATTTCGTCTGTCTCCTCAAATCACATCAACGTTAGCCTACAAGCCATCATTCGAAGAAACTTTCCTTCCGGATTCGAACAACTCAACGTACTGTTTGACTGCAGGCAAATAGGAGTAGGTCGCAGTAGCAACCATGTTGTACACGAACGGGAGATGTTTCTCGATGTCCTTCCTAGCCCAGTCGTGGAAGTACGAATTTAAGAGGCCTTGGTCGCCACCTGAACATAATCAACGAACGATATCGTCATAAAATGTCCACACGTTCAAAAAATCATTCAAGTTTCATGGGACAATAAGACGTGCGATATATCACAAATAATAACAAAATTGTCACCGCACCGTCAAAGCTGCCGTGAGTGAGCGCGAAGTTCAGCAAACTCTGGTACGTTTCTTCGCTCGGCTTGAAAACAAACACTCCAGAGTTGAAACAATCGGGCCAACCACAGTCCGGAGCTGCTGAAAGCTCATCGTGCTCAAACAGCTCATCACAATTCTGCATCACCTACAAAAATATGAATAAAAAAGAAAAAAATTCAAACCAATCATAATCCAGACGAAGAAATCAACAAAACCTCGTTCGCATCATCAAAAAATGTTCATCGAATTTCTCACCACGAACGATACAAATCTTATGAGGCAGATAAAATTCCTCACCATGGTATCCGCATCAAGGAAGACTCCCTTAGAAAACTGAGTCAGTCGCCAGCAATGCAGTTTGGTAAATGTTACTCCAAGATCGGTCCTTTCAATTAGTGCCAAGTTGCTTTGATCGTTGCTGTCCAGCACATTAACTTCCTTTACTTCGTGATAAACGTCAGCCAAAATATCTCTGAAATTTTCAGAAATTTCAACATAGGCGCGATGATAGATTGCGGGGTCGCCATCCATATGCAAGTTCTCAACGGTCAACCTGGACGAGATAACAACTGAAGCTCTCTCTGCCAACTTATACTGTACTCAGGTCGAAATATAGCTTATTTTCTCAACGTGTAGATGTCACTCGAAACAATTGCAGTTATGCGTGAACTCATGGCAGCAGTCACAGTACGTCGGTCAAACATTAATTTTTCGTCGAACTCCCGATGGGTCATTCGCCGGACTTTTTTTTCGTCACTTTTTTTATAGTGTATGTGAATATACGTTGTCAAAGCGGAAATATAAGCAACGAAAAACCAAAAATTGATTCTCACCGCATGTTGGGCGACACCTGTGGGGTAACCATCACAACAGTTGCTCTTTTCGTTTTCACGCGTCGCAGCGTATGACCCAGCACTAAGGCTCCCATTGCATAGGTGTCGTTCGTTGCCAACGTGATCCATGCTTCTGTCGGTACTAAAGGAATAAAAGCTCGTCGAAGTTTTCAGATGTTCGATGCTGTTCGGCCTCACGCGACAAGATCACAAGACAGGCTTCATCACGAAGCGCCAAGTGTATATGACGCATTAAATCACCTCACTATAGACAGCAATTCGGCATGATAACTATACCTACAAGAAATAACCATTACCAAAAGATGCCTGCAGAGATGTACAGTATTAAGATTCTCGATCAAAGGTTCCTGGATCTCAAAAAGCTACTGCCATGACGTGAAATTCGTTCAGGGAGTCGTTCCAGCCTGAATTGCCGGAGACGATACTGCTGAAGCACAGTTGAGAGCTCGCATAGTATAAGTTTTCCAATTTATTGCGAGTTCAAGAATAAATAAAAGAAAAAAACACGTACAGTATATCCAGAACTTGAAAGACAAGACCAAGAAGTAAGGCTCTGAAGTAAGTAAGTTCATGTGAAACGTGTCGCTGTTGCATGTTCACCACGGAGAGAAACCTAAGCGCAGAAAGCTACAAGAATCCTCACCTTCCGGGCGTGCAGATGGCATGGCAGATAACGCAGTCTCTGGTTGCAGGAAGGACCGATGAGAAGCCGATCAGACGGAATTCGGGTGTAATGCGACACTGCAGGAGACTTGCAAGGATTCCCTTTGAAGGATCGAAAGGAGAACTGATTAGCACCGTGAAAAACTGAAACATGTCAAGCGCGGTATTTAAGAGGAAGGATATGGTGAACTGTGCTGCACCTCGGCCGAAAATACAATTTCAAGCCATCTTGTATCATCGGCAGTAAATTATTCGCCGAAGAAGTTTCAAAATCCACTCACGAACTCCACACCGATAAGTGTGAACGATAATAACTAATCGCATCACGTTCGATTCCAGAATAATGGCAAGTTCATCCGCGGAAACCGGAATACCTTTATCTATTCAACATCTCACACATTCTATTCAACGAGGATTCATGCACAAGACCAACTAAATCTAGCTTTCTTTCTTCGTTTCTGTAACCATGCCCAAAAAATCAGAACACGCAAGAATAATGCGCATCTGATCGTGCAGCGAAAAATTGCTCTGGATTAAAGATTTTATTGCTGACAAGAGAACTTCAGGAATGGGAATTACGAAAACAACGAACGCGCCGATCACGATTAATAACGACGTCCAGCAAATGCAATATCACCCAGAACTTCCACAATCTTCGACAACCAAAAACCGACTGAAACTCACAACGGAGGTAAGAAACCCATCCTCCGGCTGTTCGGGTACGCGAGTATCGGATACGACGTGGAAGCACCCGCGATTTTTATCAGTACAACCTATACGTTTTTTAAATAGTTGCGCACGGTTTCTGCTGCTTACGCACATGAAGAATCGACCGGAAATAGAACGAAGAACCGCGTAAAACAACACACGCAGAAAACCGGTTAAGAACCTTGATCGAATTCATCCAGTTCCACTTATTGTCTCCCTCACCTTAGTCACTTCTAGTTCTACATGATTAATTGGGATGATGATGAAATGAAGGGGCATTTCTCCGTCTTACCGAACTTTACTTCATTTGATTAGGATTTCGTATCGATTAGTTCCTCACGTCAGAACGAGAAGTAAAGAAAATAAATAAATCGTACGTTAGCAACAATCAATTCCGCACAACCTAATTTTATGCACGCAGGGAAAATATGGGCACTTGTAGATCTGACAGATAAATCTTTCACCTGCTTGGGCCTTTCCGCAAGAGCTTGACCACATTTCATAAAATACCGGTCCATTTCTTGATTGCTGACAAATCCATCACTCAACTCCTCCTACTCAGGAGTCAATGGTGAGTATTCCGTCTGCATACTCTGTTAAAGATATTACTTAAATGTGGAAAAACTGAACGGATCTGCTAATGTACCCATGGATGAAATACAGCTCCCTGTTAATTCTTTTTTCTACTAGGATTGTCCCAATCCAATGTTGCCTCCCTGATGTTTCTTGAGTGTGATATTATAAAATAAGAAATCGTGACAATAGCCCATGACATTCCAAGGCTCCAGTTTTTTTTACAAATGAAAACAAATAATTTTAATTTACTGCACCATTATAAGTGAGAAATTTCCAGGAACAAACAGATTTATCCAACCATGCCACTTCAAAGAGCTAAAAATTAGTCAGGCTAGCTAGAAGCTTTGCATTTTTTTAGCCTTTAACCATTATATTTCTTCAAGTTTTGATAAGGCCTAAAACAGCAAACTTTTTAAAACTGGCATGACAACTTTTCTTTTGTTCTAAGAATCATCTTTATAATTGAAGATGATGGTTAAAAGAGAAAAAATTCTAATTATGGATCTGGTGGGGGAAAAAATGTAGCACCCTTTGACATGTGTCAAGATCTCTGACTATAATGCATGAACTGGAAAGCATGCGGAACATCAGTAAATTGAACATTTTTTTTTTCAAAAATCCCAGAATCTCAAGGATCACACTTTCTCCGGAAATTTTGCACGATGTGTCCAACTGGAAGAACCCTCAAATACTCACGCAATGCAAATAAACCGAAGAAATCATGGATACACACTTTCTTTTTTCAAATACCGGGAACTTCCCCAAGTTTATTCTCCTCCTCTCCAATATCCACGAGTAAACAGAAAATCTTTTAACAGATCCATGAAATAAGCCACAAAAAAAAAAACTGCTCAACTTCCGCATTCCAGAAATTAATGCAAGCTCGAACCCCGACATCCTCCTCCAAATTCCATTTCGAAATGCTGGAAGCATCATCCACTTTCTTAATTCAACAAATACACCAAGCACCGATCATCAGGACAAGTTAGACCTCGTGGCGCACGATATGTACAAGGCACAGGTAAAATTAAAAAATAGCATCTTTCGACCGATCGATCGAAGAACAACTCGAAATAGCGAGAGAAAAAAAAAAGTTTCACAACACCACGTGCTGAAAAGGAGGAGGAGAAGTTTCGGCGTTTTTTTCTTCTTTCTTTGAGGAACACGAACAGCAACCCGCGCAAAGTCCCGGTTTTTTCAAACACATCAGATCTCTTCCGTTGTAGTGCTGCTGCTTTGTTTCAGTTTCTCAGGCTTTGGGGCAGAGACTGCAGCGTCCAGCTTCGCTTGGATGTTGGCAAACGAGTCCGTGCCCATGTAGTCCATGCTGCCCTTCTCCCAGGCCTGGTAGCGCTCTTGTTCCGTCTGGGTCCTGCCGTTGCCGCCTCCGTAGGCGCCGCCATCGGCGGTCACCAGACGCAACCCAGCGACCGCAGTGGCCAGACCGGCCTGAAGATAGTTCAAACGATACAATGACATAATCAATATACGTCGCATTGAAAGATTCAATATGAACAAGCACATCGTATTTTCTTCTGGCTCTAAAATATAAGGAAGCAACAGTTCCTCACTAGTTCGAAAACTCTCACCACAACACCACCACCGCTGGAAACACATACAAAAAAGATGTGGTAGAAGGATTTTTTCATCAATGAATAGACTGCAGCGTAATTTATAACTTATTTATTGCAGTGAACGTAACGGGTGTGCATATGCAACTGTGAAAAAATTTCAACAGCAATTATCCTGGGCATATGCCATTCACAATCTTGAGAATTACACTATGCAAGTCAAGATAAAGTTAATCAAATATAGCATCGCAAACAAGCAGTAAAATAATTGATAGTCAAACCTTGATTTAGTGCCATCATTTGCACAAGAAATATTGGAAGCAAATGCACTGTATTTCAATACATTTAATAAAATACCCACTAGATACATGATGTATATTAGATTTTGGCAGATGCTCTGTCAAGTAAAAGAGACAAGCTGTTTCTTCAAACTATGGATCAAACTGTTCACGAAAGCACACAATTCCAAGATAAGGTAAAAGTATTTCAACTTTTTTGAAAAAGCTATCCCAGTTTTCAACATGCTCTTCACTGCGGAGGGCACCCAGATAATATGGAAATCTATAAAAATAATTTTCATTATTATCCTGAGCATAGACGTGAGCTTCTCACTAATAAACTAATGAAATCCTGGAGAATTCCTCACTTCCTTAGCCTTGAGCCCATTTTTCGGCCAAGACAAGAATTTTTTGCACAACTACTGCACCATTAGCTGCAAAAGGGCTTCCTTTGTTGCGTCCCTCGAAACACTGTAGCAATAAGTTCCCACCATGATTTAGAATCCTAACTGGCATCGAATAAAGTGTCGAGCATACTGGCGTCGTCGGTAAGGCTAAAAGAAGTCTAAATGAAAACTTTCTTTTTCAACATCAGAGCAGCCGTTCATCCTGATTCTCCTCAGTACATTTTAATCTTGAAATTAAAACATATGACAAGGAAAATAAGTTCAATTTACGAAGAAAACGAAATCGTGCTTGCAACTAGGACGAAGACAGAATAACCATAATTCTAAAACTTGGTTTCTCCTGCGATCAAACCCTGATCACAAACGCTCCAATTCTTTTTCTCAATCGTTCTTACGGATGTAACAAGTCCGCAGAGATCGTAACGGGTGTTACTGGTGGACATGCAAATTTACGGCATCAAACGAAAAGCAAGCGCAGAACGTACGGCAGGCGTTAGTTGAAGTTTCTGAAAAGTACCTGGTTCTGACGAGCTCCGATGCAATCCCATAAGCAAAGCTGGTTAGACTCATCCCGCAACCATCATCAGCAGACATTGTGCCAGAACAACCGAACAAATAACGAAGAAGGACACAACCGCAGAGAGATGAAAGAAAAAACTCAAGATGCATTGGATATAGACCGCCTTTCACGCCACCAGCTGCGCACTGCTGCGATGCCCCCGTCGCTGCAACACCGTCATCCTAACCACAAAAATATCTTATCTAAAGTTGAAAAAAAAGGCTGGAAAGCCACGCGATAAACCGTGTACCCCTGAAAATATTTTGTTCGAACCCTCCTAGAATCCTGCACTCATCGATTTCGTACGCGTCATCATATTCAACGGCTGACGAATGCCTCACTCAAACTGGTGAACCACGTCAGTCGCCATGACACATGTGCGCTATTATTTATCGAAGATCCTCAACATCAGTTCGCTGTCCGGAATTCCAACCTCAGCTGAATCAGAATTTCGGCTAGGTCAAGAACCGTGATTTGAGCAATAAGATTTGTAGATGAAAGCATGTATATTTGAAACAAGCTCTCGTATTTCAGTTTTAACACATTTATGGAGAGACAAAGAATGACAGAAATAATTCTTTCAGTAGGTTCATCATCCTCACAACTGACGTTTCCTGTTTTGTAACTCAATTCACAATTGTTTTGATCTTGCCTCCTATTTTCACGATCAGTTACACATTTGCTGCAGTGGTCATTTGAAATCTATGCATTGCAAAAGTAACTGAATTGGAGAGAAAATACTGCATCTTGTGCCTTACATCTCTGAATATATTATAATGAATCCCGCTAATCAACAAGGCGGTGCAAAAAATATTATCAACAATAAGATTTACGATCTTTTTTGCATTTCGTCTCATCATCAAATGTGACTTTTATCATGGACCTTCTTGAAATTCCAAAAAGAGAAATTGAAAAATACGGCCTTCATTATTCTGAAATTTCTGGCTTTACTTTACGAGGAAAAAAGGAAAAAAGAATTAAAATTAATTTGAGATAATCTTCCGATTTTCAAACGAAATGAAAAATTTACTCAACTGAAATCTACTGCCTTGCGTCATTGAATACTAAAAATCTTTAATTTTCAATGAACTGTAGATTCCATACGTCAGATTATTCAGAACAGCCATTCTTCAATTCTGGTGAAGATTCTACCTTCGTGGACATAGAAAGATTACGAAAAATACCCTAATGACAAAATGAGTAGACACAGAAGAGACTCTCAGGAAGTGGCTTTTTGACCTCTTCTCGTCCGCCGGTAGAACCCAGTCGCTCCGGTTTTCATAGACTTCGCCGGAATTTTCACCCCTTTTGTTTGGAGTCCTTGACCTGCTTATTGGGTCCCCGAGTCCTTGAACGCGTTGCTTTCATCCCCCGCAGAAATACGTAAACAAGGCTATGAGAGCGAGAAGAAAACGTGTCGGCGGGGGTGGGGGGATAAGAAAAAGTGGGGGGTATATGGTGACAGGTCTATATATGGGAGAGACAGAGAGAGCAGATGACACACAGACACAAATTGGCCGCCCGCCTAGACGGATTGCAACGATGGCGGCTGGGCACTGATCCTCGAAGCAGTGCTGGCAGCTGTTGACGCGGCGTGAACCGTAGCCCTTTGTTTCAGCATGTCGACAAGGTCAGAGGACGACATGGGGACGTAATCTGAGGGATTGTAAACCGTCTTTGTCGTCACGTCTGTGACTACCGAAACACGTCACGGGAACGCGAGAAGACCGAGCTTTCGGCAATATAAACATCTTCTGATCTGCTGAAATATTGTCGTCCAAAATCTCGGATGCCTTCACCACTACTGGGGATCCATTGACCAGTTTCACAGCTTTCCCGCGAAACATTCCCGAACACGGAGTCAACACTGACGAAAAACTATACGGTGAGTCACTCTGAGAGCCCTGAACCTTCGTGGACACGCGACGCGTTTTCGTGAACTTGAGACCGAAGAGATTCTCCCGTTTAAGCGTCTCCACGTCCTTCACTTCCTGGGCTTCGGCTTCCACGACTCTGCGTCTCTGCGCTTCGGCCACACGCTTCTTTTCAGCCTCCAAACGACTCTTGCTTTTCTTGAAGTGCCGTGAAATCCGTTTTTCCAACGGGACTTTCGGGCCTCCAATCGGATGCAGGTGCCAAATCATCGGCCTTCGTTTGTCGCTTTTCTCGAACTGCTCCCTGGTGTCAGGTTTCACAGCTGGCTGAACTGGGTTGTAAATCGGCTCTCGAAGGTTCGGTCCGCCGACTGGAAACACGTCCCAGACGTTTCCCCGATTCCACGACGTTTGTTGGTTGTGTTCGTGGCGATATTCATTGTTCTGTTCGGGTACCACTTGGTCCATGACGGGTTCAGGAAGACTCTCGCCGTATCCGAAACTGTCAATTGGCACCGGGATCCCATAATCGTTAGCATGGTGCCAACTTTCGTGATGGTGGTGGTGTTGGTGATGATCGTGTTCCTGTCTCTTCTCGATAATGTAATCAGGAGTGAATCTCTCGTGCCGGAACTCGCCCCACGGAAACTTCTCCTCGGGTTCCATGGCAGGCGGCGGACGAGGAGGCTCGTGGTGATGATGCTGGTGCTCGTAGTGATGGTGAACTTCGGGTTCCCGAACCGGACTCGGAGGTCTTTCAAACACCGGCTCTTGTTGCTTGGAGAACTCATGCCATACGTAGGAATCCGGTTGAAAACTTTCAATGAACAACGCTGCGCTTTGACCGTGTTGCGGAGCTGCTTCGGACGCGACTAGAGTCTCCCTATACGCCGCTTCCGCATTTTCGTTGTAAATCATCCAACTAGGCAAAATACTTCTCAGGGAGGCCATGAAATAAATGTTGTCAATCAGTCCCTAACACGAGTCAACAGGTCGTCGATGTCACGAGTCGAACATGGGGCGTGTAACGAGAGAACGGAGTAAAGAGACAAGAGGAGTAGAAGAAAGTTCAGAGCAGAAGTTTCGAGGAAGGGGCGGGACGAGAACAAAAATTACGAGTTAGAATCACGCGAATATAATTGTACACACACTGGAGAAAACATTCGAGGCGATTGATTATTGTTAGACAACGTGATCAACATGTAGGGCACCGTATTTCGATTGAAAAGGCATTGTATATGCTGCGTAAGAAACTTACATAATCGCCGGTCATTCGAGGTAAGACTTCAGCACCGAACAAGTCCCACCACTGCGTCAGGTATGCGTGAGCATGTTGGTGGGCTTCTCCAGAGACTGATACCTTTCCGGAAACGGGGTCGTATTGATGCATCCAGGGTTTTGTGGCCCCAAGGAAGTGAACGATCTTCACATCCTTGCCAAATCTTGAAGAAAATGTAAGCAGAAATGAATGACGAAATAACTAAAAAACCTGAACGATTTTAATCGTAAGGCACCTCGGATATTAATACTCGTTGTCTTTAATTTAGTCAGAGCATCCTAAAATTTACACATGCCCGTATATTTTAATAACACTTGTAACGCAGCATTTTTTTCAGCGCATTGGTGTTCATGTAAAATTAATTTAGATTAATCACAACTCATAAAATCCCGCAGGAAGACTTGGAAGTACGCAAGCGTATTTATCGGGACCATCAGCAGCAATGATAGAATGCCAATCGAAAACTCGATCACGACAATGCATAAGAGAAAATTTGTAAAGCAAAAATAGGACGATGAGTGAAACAGACATTCCCACACGAAAGTATCGTATTTCACATTAATCGCCATGAAATTCTCTCCTCGCAAGTTTTTGAACGCCACGAAAAATCTCTTATTCTGTGAAACACTGTTCAAATTTTAAAATATGACAGTTCTTCGAGAATAATGAAATAAATTGTAAGAATGAAGCTAAGAAAAACATTATTTAAAACTTATTTAATGCAAATACTCAACTGTTTGACGGCAGGCAAATAAGAATAAGTCGCAGTAGCAACCATGTTATAAACAAACGGAAGATGCTTCTTGATGTCCTTCCTCGACCAGTCGTGGAAAAACAAATTGAGAAGACCTTGATCGCCGCCTGCACAAAAACAAAAAATAATCATTTTACTTCTGCCGAGACAACATTTTAAATTATAATTAATGTACCATCGAAGCTGCCGTGAGTGAGCGCGAAGTTCAGCAAACTCTGGTACGTTTCTTCGCTCGGCTTGAACACAAACACCCCGGAGTTGAAACAATCGGGCCAACCACAGTCCGGAGCTGCTGAAAGCTCATCGTGCTCAAACAGCTCATCACAATTCTGCATCACCTACAAAAATATGAAGAAAAAAAATGAATGCGAACCAATCAACATAATCGAGACGAAAAAATAAACAAAACATCGTTCGCATCATCCAAAAATGTTAATCGAATTTCTCACCACGAGAGGCGCATAAAATTCCTTACCATGGTATCCGCATCCAGGAAGACTCCTTTGGAATACTGAGTCAGTCGCCAGCAGTGCAGTTTCGTGAATGTTACTCCAAGATCCGGCCTCTCAATCAGTGCCAAGTTGCTGCGATCGTTGCTGTCCAGGACATTCACGTCCTTCACTTCGTTGTAAACATCAGCCAAGATACCTCTGAAACATTCCCCAATCAAACAGGAAGTCTTCAAAAACAACATTTACTGCACAAGCCCCTGAACAACTATAATTCGCAGAAGAAACTGGCAAGAAATATCTTCAGCAATACTGTACTGTATCTCCGAAAGTAATAAGATGGACGTTCGTTCTCACCGCATGTTGGGCGACACCTGTGGGCTGACCATGACAACAAGACCTCTCTTGGTATTGAAGCGCCTCAAGGAATGTCCCAAAACCAGAGCTCCGAGCGCATAGGTGTCGTTCGTTGCCAACGTCACCCATGCCTCATCCGTAACTGCGAGAAACATGGACCGCAAAATGTGAATTTCATAGTTTCCCAAATGAAATACTTCGAAAAAACCCGGTTTTACAGACAGGCTATAGAAACACAATACAATTTCTTGTCTGCATTATTTAGAGATTTCATCGTCTATACGCGATTCAATTCTTCCGCGATTCAATTCAAGTATAGTTTTGCACAGTGGAACCCTGTGTATGTAGTTACTATACAACACGGGTGAAGCACAGTAAAATTCACTTGCAGCAAATCTTTTTCGAGCGATTTTTCTTTTCTTCGTAGGGACAATGTTATAAAAATTTCGCTTCAACAAGAAATTTTGTCCATGGCCTCCTAATCGAAAATGTTCAGCCTTGATTATGCGTGCATGAGCCACAAAAAAAATGTTACCAACTGGCACAAAAATTTGGAATATGCAACCTTATGCATCTTTAGAAAAAAAACCCACGGAAATATAAATTCTAATCTTTCAGCGCAGAAATATTGCATTTTAGCAAATACGAAGCACGGTCCTGCTGTCATCAGAATTAATTTGGCTTTCCTCTAGAATTCAGATATGGCTATTTTTTGATAAACAATATCTTCGAAAAAAAATCGGTGTTTCAAAGAAAATACAGCTGCTATTGAATGAATGCTGTCTTTACACGTGTTCGCTTCAGTTTATATTTCATTAAGATCAGTACCATTTTTTGAAAAGTAATTCATGACACGGAGGATAAAAATATTAGTCCATCCGTTTCACATTGATAAAGTTGGTATTATTTGATTTTTAAAAATCGTTGGCAATTTAGAATTTTTTCAAAATGTCTCTCATTGAAGCACTTGGATGCATTCATGGCAAACAGATAATGAATGCTTCAAAAAATAACCATGAATATCGTAATGACAACTTTTTAATTATCTCGGGGATTTTGTCATGATGAGATTCCACTCAACTTGCAAAAAAAAATAATAATGAGCGCTGAAATCCAGAATTTCGACCGAAATTAAAGTAAAATTTACGGTAAATACGCGTCTCTCTGTCCCTCGCATCTTCCCATTCCTCATACATGTATTTGCATCCGAAAATAAATAAAAAGCGGGCAATAATCCATATTCACACGTCAATGAAGGGGAGATAATCACGCATCTTACGACTTATTCCCCGCTTCATCTCGATCAATGACCTCGAAAGAGCCAAGAAGCGGTAAACAAAACAAAATAACAAAACAAAAAAAAGCGGTCGTCTGGCGGTTCTTGCGACGCCACGACGCCGCCGCCGTGCGATACAAATCCAGGATCAGGTTGCCTCCAGATTTATTCCTTCCACATCTCCCTCTCTTTCTCTCTTGCAAGAGCAAGAAAACGAAGACAGCATTTAATTTCCTTTTTTTTTCCATTTTTTCTTCAACATTTAAATACGTAATGCATTGAATTATCAGCGTGTTTACCGTATACAGTACAATATATATACAGGGTGGGCGTCGGAAACTTTACAACCGCATGACGCACGATGAAAATGCGATCATCAGGAGAAGAAGGACCATAGACGTTCCTTTTTCCATGATGCGATCGAATGAAAATGTTGACGAAATGGGAATTTATTTAAAATTTAAACTGAACGACAGTTCAACAAAATTTTTAAAACAATTTCCAAAATATCTACAATTTTAATTAATTAATTAAATTAAAATTAATTTATTTAATTTTAAGTACATGCTAATCAAGTGAATTAACATGGATGAATCGAACAACGAACATAATACAGTACGTTCAAGTGATTGGTTCGTTGCTCAAATCGTTCTTTGTGTAATTTCCCATATTAATCTATATTCTAGAATAATTTTTTATAATTGGTTCCAGCTGAGTATATTCAAAATTATAAAAGTAGAGTGAAGAAAATGGGCATGACGAGAGAATCGAAAACAAGACAAAAATACCACGAAATCATAAAAGCAACTACACAATAGGGGTTCTTGAAGAATACGTGTATTTAAAATATGCACTACAATATTGAAAAACACAAGGAAAATTCAAGTTCCCCCACACTTTCAAATAATTTTTTTTCCCATTCGTGCATCTATTGTCATGATTTCATAAAATTTTTTTTATGATTAGAATTTTTGAAGAGAAAAATTAAGATTCTTTTTTTTACCCGACTTGCAGTTGTTTCCTCAAGTCAATTTTTTTCAAATAAAATTAAATTAATCAAAAACGAAAATAAAACGGAAGTTACTCTCACAACTCAAAAGAACTTTTAATAGAAGATGCAAAAGTGAGACCCCCACATGCAGACACCTCAACCTGCGGATAATTGGACATAGGGACACTTATTTTATCATAAAAATTTAAAAAAAAAAGACCCAACATGAGGACATGGACTCAACATAGGGACATTTTGTTATAAAATTGCAAATACATTTCAGGCCAAATTACAAGAAACAGATATTTTCAATCCTGAAATTGCTGTAAGAAAAGTTCTTTGGCATTTCTCTCACCAATTTACAATCCATTTCGCTAATTTAAAAAATTACCTCCAGCAAAGAGGGACTTCCTTCTCTCTTTTTCACTTGAATATTTGTTTAAACAGAGAATGCCAACATTTCTATGTACTGTACAGAGGTATCAGTATTCAATTCTCCAAATGCCAATATTGTGTTGAAATATATTTATTGGAATCTGTTTGAATTGCGAGACAATTTTTTATTTTCATGGAATTATGGTGAGTATATTTTGTACATAAAACACCAATTAAAAATTATATAATGTAAGTCTAAAGGTAAATGAGACTTGACTTGGGGACATTTCGACTTGAGGACACTCTTGATGCACCAATTACGTCCGCATCTTGGGGTCTCACTGTATTTCTTCAATTTCTACGGAAAAATCTGCGATATGACAACACAATAAAAAAATATCATTTACGGGCCCATTCGAAAATTCTCTTCGACCAGAATATAATTGTCCAGCTTCCGATATACCATATACAGTATATTATTTTTATATGAATGGTAAACCCTGTATATGATGCACAACATAATACAGTTTATTGTAATCTGGAAAAGCTGTTGCCCGATTGTGTTACGGAATAAAGAGTGAATCGGTGAAAGGAGACGAAGGTCACGAGGGTTGGCAAGAACACAACTGGTCATATCCTGTGTCACATTCGTGTCCCCCCACGCGACATAATTTGAAACCCCCCCCCCCCCCCC